ATGTTTTAAAAGAAGAATCGTCTTTCTTCCTTTTCTCTTTCTGGTACATTTGAAGGGAAATCTGAGAGATACTGTAATGAAGATTTCAAAAAGTTGTCACATTCACCGCACACTGGCAGCGCTCACACGTGGAATGTCAACAGACTCACACTGGAGCTAAAAATCTGTAACTGATAATCAGAAACATTCCTGTTAGAATATTTATTAGAGAAAGTGTGGAGCCACCAGGAGTGAGTAGGATACCTCCCACATGTCTCCTTCCTATCCTGCCAGCAGATTATACAGTCTGGCAGTCGAAGGAAGGAAATGCAGGACCCAAGGTTCTTACTGCTGACAACAGAGTCGCACTGAAGAAAACCATTACAGCTTTCATCTGTGCTTTTTTAAAACGAATTCTTTGCATTTTTAACTTGATTTAAATTTGCAATATATCTTTTTTAAATTTTTGTTTTAATATATTTGCGATAACTTTGAAGATAAGAATCATTACATATGTTAATGTCCATAAAATTTCAAGATCCACAGAGTCTTTCAAGTCAAACGTGAAGGACTTTGACCCAGGAGATTGGGGTTCATGTTTGTTTGCATCTATGACTGCTGGGTTAGGATTAGGTTCGTTTTAGGAAAAGATCACAGCTTTGGTAGAAACAGACCTATGATTTTTTTGGGTCTATTTTAATGCTTTCTAACACGTGTAAATGTTTACCACATGTTAGAAAAGCCCTGGCTGAGTGGAGAACTCTTTCCCGTCAAAGGACATTGCAATATGTAAAGTCTTTTTAACTGAATTTAACAGAACAGCACTGCAACCTAAAACTAACAGATTAAAGAGTTCTTCACATTTACACAGAAGAGCTTTAATTTTCTTCAACTGAATTGTTCGGGAATAGAGGAAACCTGACTCCAATATTAATTCTGCCTCACTTTTTCAGTCTGATACTTGGTGCTGGGAAAAGCAATCGAGGAATATGAATCTGTTGTGATGGAAAACCATATAAGAGCGGTGAGAATGAATCAAATCAGCTAATCTGAAGGCCGTAACATAAATGATGAGTTGAAAAATGCTGGAAAGCTCTGTGTATCACAGAGTCAGGTGATAATTATGTGCACGTTTGTCGTTTTGGTTGCATTACACAGATTCGATCTATTCTAAACAGTGATTATGGCCCCTTTGAAAAACTAAATACATGAGTTTTTAATGCATTATATTATTTTTGTCTATCTTCACTGACTGTCAGCATGAACTCTGATGTCTCCATCCTGGCAACTACAAGCAACAAACAACCTACATTTGAATCCACTTCAAATGCTCCCCCTGAAACTGGTGATGGGAGAAAAACCCTAAACTGCTTACCGAACGAGACCATCTGGAGACGCTGGATGATAGAAGCCGGGGGCCTAAAGGTTTTTGGGGGGGTAGCTGAAAGGAAGAGAGACGGAGGGAAAAAAAAGATGCAGAGAGAAACAGCAGCGTAGCTACATCTACGAAACCATGTCGTGAGTCCCTCTCTGCAGGCAGGACGATAATTACAGGGCGCAGGCTAAGAAACCCTGACTGGGGAAAAAAGTAGAGATATTCAGGCTGCTGGGTTGCCGCCCTTGGGCCCTCAAGATAACCACAATGCTAAGCAGCAATCCTACAGTATAGGCTATGAGAGTAGGGTTCAAGATCACTGCAGTGACACTGTGCCAAAGAAGAGACAGCTATGGACAAGCCTATACTGGGGCAGGTAGGTCAAAGTACTCTGGTCTCCACCTCAGAGGCCAGATTAAGGCTGTCTACACGTCTCTGAAGTTAAACTTGAAGAAAACTTGAATTAATCTGAACTAAAAACAAATATTTAATAGTTTCTTTTTCCTTCACCATATTTACTATAACATTTGGGTGGTGTCAACATGAGTCACCACCCAAACCTCACATAAACTGCCTCAGCAAAGCAGCTTTTGGTTCTGCCCTCAATCCCAACTTCTCTAATAAAACTTTCAGTGCGTGGAGCTGTACGATGACTCGCCGTTACCAACTGTCTGACCATTATAAATCACTGGTCATGCCCAGGGAGGCTGCGTCCTTCAGCGTGACCCACAACCTTCACACATCCTCACACAGTCAAATTGTACACCATAACACGAGGCTGGAAAAATGAGGTGGGTGCAGTTCATCACATCCATCAAACTCCTGACAGTGAACAATAATCCATAAAGCCAGTGTGTGTGTGTGTTTGGGGGGTGAAATATATCTTAAAAACAGTCCAGTGTTTACAGCTATTAAATGGAGAATTTGGCAGCTTTTTAAGCTTCATTAAAAACACCGTCACCTTGATTAACCTGCGCTCAACAGGTTTTTATAACCGAATAAAAGAATCCTGCAATCAAACCACGGAGGTCTTTTCATTATCACGCGAGTTCCTGGTGCACACGGCTTACAGAATATTGCACCAGTATTTCTCGTCTGACGTTTATCTGAGCTCTCCCATTCCTTCGCTCAGCCCTAACTGTAGATTGCAGCAGTGCTGATATGAACTACATGACATATGATTCCCATTTTCCAGTACAGGTGTCAAAGCTGTGTATGTGCTAATGATGACTGTGTCCCAGGGAGGGAAAGGAAAAGCCCCCTCCCCGCGGGAATTTGGCCGTGGCGAGCAGGTCGCTCCTCCACGCTGTCATTCGTATCAAATGAGGGGCCTTACCGGCTGCAGGGTGAGAAAACTGACTTGCATGGAATTATTTTATTTAGACTCTGGACAAAAATAATTTAACATGTGTAAACAAAATTTTCCCCTCTCCTTTTAAATGTGAACTTCCTTGGTTACCGCCTTGGTTACCAGGCATAAAGTTATTAATGTGTAACCACTGAACACACATATGATAAGACGCATGTGACCGAGGCACTCCTGATACCATGAGAAGAATGAATTTGAAGAAAACAAAAAAAGCACTGCTACAAAGCGACTATGAAACCTCAGGTGTCTCTTCTATGGCATCTTTGTGCCCCCCAGGCATTTTATGCACACTGCAATCTTGAATTTTGATTTTAAATCACAAACTGATTTAAGTCTGGGCATTAGTTTCACAGCCAGCAGCAAAGGAGAAACACAATCTATCTTTTCACCGACAGGAATCAATGCCGCCTTGTGAAAAACAGCTATATTTATTTTTTTTCTCCTCAGCTGTTTACCATAAAAAGTTCAATCGAAGCTATAAATCTTTATTTTGGGGCATGCCGTCGTTATATTCTGTAACTCTGGTGTCCTTTTAGTTTATGAAAAACAATATCTGAATGATGCATAAATTAGTGTCACAGTTTAAATAAATCCACTCTAAAGGCTGCAGGGTGTTTAGTAATGGCAAGCTCGAAGTCTGATTTATTGCCATTACAAATTTAGTATTTTCCATAATGACAGCATAAAGACATCATCTTTTTTCAAACCTAACCCAGCATTAGCAAGTCAGATCAGTTTGTATGCCCAGGACTGTTGTACTTAAAATGATACAGCACCGCCGCACACACCCTTCCTCTCTCCTCCCTCCTCGCTCTCGGTGGAGCCCAGGGGGGGACAGGAGACGGCTGCTAATTGCAAGCCTGGAACACACGGTGTTAAAAACAGATAACGCTGGATGTGACAGATAGCCTGCAATAGAACAAGATGTCAGAGACAGAATACTGTACGTCAGAGCAAAACCCCGGCTGGGATGGGCGAATTCGGTCACTCATCTGTTTCACCAAAAAAGCCAGAAAAAATTTGGAGCCAAACTCCTGCGGTAATAAATAATTATTTTACAATTATGTTAACATCTCCTCATAGAATTATCAAGGTTTGGCGTCTGCATTACATTCAAACTTGGAGGGGCTATCCAACAGCCGGCTCTCACCTCTCCACCTTCCTATCATGTAAGTGTGTGAATCACCCGACCTAAGCACCAAGTGCAAAACGCACAGCAACACACAACTGTAAAAGAAAAAGTGTCACACTTTCAGCAAAAAAAGAAAGAAAGAAAAAGACCAGGGGGGATGTGCTCAGCAGGAAATGTTCTATATCCAGAGCAGTGAGCAGAGATGTGCAGGAAATACACCACGTTCAGTGTTTGTACACTAAGCTGTATTCTCTGTGCGTGCTTTACTCTTTAAGACACATATAATAAATGCACAGCACTGCACAATATTCTGTTCAGAGAAAAAGCATCCCAGACTGACAACTATGAATACTGGCTGTAGTAATATTGATAGGATGTTGATACAGTGATAGGAGCATAAATGTGCATGCAGCTGACCTACATCAAGGCAATGGATGGAGAGTAAGGAGCCGGAGGCACTGACAACCATTCAGCCATCAAATATCAAAAGGCCAGCTATGAGTAATGCATTTCCCTGCATAACAGCGACTGAGCCCACAAACCAATGAAATGGGTTACAACGTTGCCTCTTTTAAGTAAATGAATAAGAAAACGCTTTGCACACTCGTGCATGTGTGGAACTGCTGCAGAGATATGAGGCACGTTTTTTTTCCTGTTGGGATCAATTGATTCCCCAGCACATCTCAAGACTTTGAGACTTTGAAGAAGTTATTTCTGAGGCGCACGGGCGCGCTGCCTGACTACACTTTTCAACTTACGGAAAAACAACAAGCTGTGATCCAAGACAGATCAGCTGTAACACGGGAATGTTGAAATATTAGCCCAAAGGAATTATCTTTCAAGGCAGCTGCCACACATGTCACAAACAAGCACGTGTCTGGACTGTGGACTCTGACAGTGACTTTCAAAGCAGTGGGACATTTCCATCACTCAGCTTCTCCTCAGAGCACAAACTACCGATACGTGATACCTGCCTTCAAGCGGACTGTTTGTAGTGATAGACACAGCGCTCTGTTTTGATGCTGACGCAATGAAATGCCTCCTTCCTCCAAGTTGTAAATCATCGCTTCTCTACAGAACTGATGAGGTTTCCTGCTAGTGGATACAGCACCGTGCGTTTGGATGTCATTCATTCACTCAAGTACCTGTCATCGTAGCAGAAATCGGCGCCCAGAGTGTTGACATACAGGACCAGAGCCACGGCGCCGCACAGCAATTCTGCAAACATTTCTGCCTCGCACGCGCGCGGGGAAATACTAACAAAAACAAAACTAAACAAACTGGGAAATGAGAAAAAATAAAGAAAATTAAAAAGATGCAAAGCGAGACACCGAGAAGCAGCGAGTCCCGGTTTCTAGTCCCTCTCAGTCCCCGTCTTTGTCAGGATGTCTCTGCGAAAACAAGTCCATTCTCTCCCCCCCATCATCCTCGCTGAAGTGCGCAAAGTGGATAATCCATAGGTGGCTTTCTTTCTAACCCATGTTGGGTCTGAGCCCGAGAGCTTTTTATCCCGCCGAGAGTTGGGCAGGAAATAAAACACGAGCAGCGTTTCGTGGATCTGTGACAACACACGCAGCACGCCTCCCTGACACAGAGGAGGATCAGCCTCTGATGCTCAGCTGCCGCTGCTGGCTAAACGTCGCGATTGAGACAGAGGTCAAGTCAGACAGTCTGGAATTGTCCAACATCCGAGTAGACTTTCAAAATAAACTTTCCAGTGAGCAGCGCGAACAAAAACAGGTGTTCAAGTGCATCTAAAGGTTGACAAAAGAACACGGTAGCCTTATTTAATGAAAGTCCTGCGATGTAGTGTGAGGATGTAGATGAGCAGATAAAACAAGGCGTAAAAGACACATAACTGCTTTTTGACCCCACATGAGGTTCATTTTAACAAAGCTTTATATTATTCAGTGAGCTTCCCCCATATAGGATTTTTATATATACTCTTTTAATAATTAATATTTAGTTTTCTAATATAACTTCATTTCTGTCAAACCTTAAGACTTAATATGGACGATTAATCTACTTCACTTCCGCTCCAAACCTTCGCATTTCTGCAAACTTGACGCAGCTATGCTCCTAACACATGTGGTTTGAGAGAATCCGAGCGCATGCGCACCTCCCCTCCTCTAGAAAGGGGATAAATCACACTAGGTGGGGCTGAGAACCGCTGGTAGGGGTCACTTAATACCGCTAAGAGTAGTCCATAATGTCAAGGTGGTCCTTAGAGTGGAGTTCGAGGGTATGCTTCATGAACGAATATCATATTTAATTTCATAAAACCTGTCACTGTAATCTGTGGCGCTCATCTAACATCTACAAAAGACAATAACATATAATATATTTGCTGGCTACAGCTATTATTGCTTACGTAGGAGAATTAATCATTAAAGAAACACAGGCTTGCTTGGCTGTAAGAAATATTTCCCTCTACTTTAAATGTGGCTTCAGTTTGCTGCACATGTAGACATACAGGGAGCAGCAGCTGAAGCAGACGCACACATCCCGTGCGCTTGCCTTGATGACGATTCTTATAAATAACAGTTGCTTATTAAAAGCTACATTTTTGTAATTTATGTCAGTCCAATGACAAGATGGTGTGAGAGCAGAGATCACTTTGACCTAAAAGACTGACTTTCTTAGATAAATGATGACGGGAAAATCTTTTCCTGCTTTTGATGTGAAGAGCAGGTTATATGTTTACCACCCTGAACAATGAGTCGCGACAGTGTGTTTTCAGGAACTTCTTTCTCCTCAACAAGGGTCGGGAAAGTTGTAAAGCTGGGCCCAAAGGGACCACTAGAGGGCCCTTAGGCTAAGAATGTCTGTGAGAAGACTAAACAAGGTAAATTATTTCAGCCTCTAATATACAACTGAATGCATTGTCCTTAGCTAAATACCGAACATTTCCGATGATTTTCCCGTGATTGCACAAAATTGCCACTTTAGAAGTGAACAAGCAAAACAAAGCTGGGTGTTCTTTTTCATGATGAGTAAATTCAGTGTCTGGTAATTATTAAACTTTCCCAGACTTAGTCTTTTATTATCAGTTTTACATGGCCAGCGTGTTTCTACATTTCCAAAAACAATACATTGCATCTCGAAATTACAATGATCATCACGACCGTTAACATGATTCTTGGACTTCCTTTAAGAGTATATTGCACAACACAAGGAGGTATTAGACCAGCGGCAAAGAAAGAAGAGAAGAAAAGAATAATTGCAAAAGTGTTGCAGACAAAGTCAGTAGTCTGGCGACTGCTGTTGATTCAAGGTTGTTTCAATAGGCAAGCCCCATCTGTCAGGGCAGCATTTCAATGTAGCCTTTCACAGGACAGCAGCAGGACACTGTGATGTAATACATTTCAGGAATTAATTAGTCTGATCAAAGTTTTTCTGTTTTTTGGCTTAGAGTCTACATTTCTCTGTTGACTGATTATTCATGCTCCTTTTTATTTATTTATTTTCATCAGGTTCATAAATACATTTATTTTCAGGTTCAAAGAGCGCATAGATTACTTACCACACCTCTGATCACTGGATCCTTAAATAAAATTCATAATATATCATTATGAACATAACCACTTGATTTATATATATAAGATATAAACTAATATAATAATAAATCAACATATACATATAATATATATATATTAAACAATACAAAAACCATCTACACATATACAGGGAGTGCAGAATTATTAGGCAAGTTGTATTTTTGAGGAATAATTTTATTATTGAACAACAACCATGTTCTCAATGAACCCAAAAAACTCATTAATATCAAAGCTGAATGTTTTGGAAGTAGTTTTTAGTTTGTTTTTAGTTTTAGCTATTTTAGGGGGATATCTGTGTGTGCAGGTGACTATTACTGTGCATAATTATTAGGCAACTTAACAAAAAACAAATATATACCCATTTCAATTATTTATTTTTACCAGTGAAACCAATATAACATCTCCACATTCACAAATATACATTTCTGACATTCAAAAACAAAACAAAAACAAATCAGCGACCAATATAGCCACCTTTCTTTGCAAGGACACTCAAAAGCCTGCCATCCATGGATTCTGTCAGTGTTTTGATCTGTTCACCATCAACATTGCGTGCAGCAGCAACCACAGCCTCCCAGACACTGTTCAGAGAGGTGTACTGTTTTCCCTCCTTGTAAATCTCACATTTGATGATGGACCACAGGTTCTCAATGGGGTTCAGATCAGGTGAACAAGGAGGCCATGTCATTAGTTTTTCTTCTTTTATACCCTTTCTTGCCAGCCACGCTGTGGAGTACTTGGACGCGTGTGATGGAGCATTGTCCTGCATGAAAATCATGTTTTTCTTGAAGGATGCAGACTTCTTCCTGTACCACTGCTTGAAGAAGGTGTCTTCCAGAAACTGGCAGTAGGACTGGGAGTTGAGCTTGACTCCATCCTCAACCCGAAAAGGCCCCACAAGCTCATCTTTGATGATACCAGCCCAAACCAGTACTCCACCTCCACCTTGCTGGCGTCTGAGTCGGACTGGAGCTCTCTGCCCTTTACCAATCCAGCCACGGGCCCATCCATCTGGCCCATCAAGACTCACTCTCATTTCATCAGTCCATAAAACCTTAGAAAAACCAGTCTTGAGATATTTCTTGGCCCAGTCTTGACGTTTCAGCTTGTGTGTCTTGTTCAGTGGTGGTCGTCTTTCAGCCTTTCTTACCTTGGCCATGTCTCTGAGTATTGCACACCTTGTGCTTTTGGGCACTCCAGTGATGTTGCAGCTCTGAAATATGGCCAAACTGGTGGCAAGTGGCATCTTGGCAGCTGCACGCTTGACTTTTCTCAGTTCATGGGCAGTTATTTTGCGCTTTGGTTTTTCCACACGCTTCTTGCGACCCTGTTGACTATTTTGAATGAAACGCTTGATTGTTCGATGATCACGCTTCAGAAGCTTTGCAATTTTGAGACTGCTGCATCCCTCTGCAAGATATCTCACTATTTTTGACTTTTCTGAGCCTGTCAAGTCCTTCTTTTGACCCATTTTGCCAAAGGAAAGGACGTTGCCTAATAATTATGCACACCTGATATAGGGTGTTGATGTCATTAGACCACACCCCTTCTCATTACAGAGATGCACATCACCTAATATGCTTAATTGGTAGTAGGCTTTCAAGCCTATACAGCTTGGAGTAAGACACCATGCATGAAGAGGATGATGTGGACAAAATACTCATCTGCCTAATAATTCTGCACTCCCTGTATATGATGGTTAGTTCTCAGCGTCACACATATAAATGTTTCACCAAAGTTAAAACATGTGCGTCTGGGGGTGAATGAGAGAAAGAAGAGTGTCCTGGCAGGGTGGAGGGAGCGGGAGTGTTGCCCGATGTATGTGACAGAAGAAGACCTCCCTGTACGGATCCTAGAGGGTAAAAGAAATTACAAGGACACGACTAATAGTAGGTTGAACGCCACATCTGAGCCGCAAATCGCCCGTGCATGGAATGAAAATAATGACGCAAACGTGAGCATGTTAAAGCAGAAAGTGACACTAAATGCAGGCTTTCTGAAGTATGGCTTTGCATGAAGCCAAGCAGCTTAATCCACTTTGTGGACGGTTTGGAGGAATATGCATTCTGCACAATATCAAATAAGAAAACATTTAATATCAGCAGAATGTAATAAATGTTATCTTGACCAGGGTTAGGAATGTGAACTTTCTTTTATTCCTCGTGCGCTCTCCCACTTTTGTCTGCAGGATATCAGACCTCAGCTTTTTAGCAATCAGGGACAACATGACATCATTAGTTCGAGATACGAGCTCCGAATATCATCTCGACACTGCTTACTCAGCAGTAAACTATCTTGAGCAAATTACTTTTCGCTTGAGAGCTGATGGTGGAAGCGTCAGTGGAAACATAATGCTGAGTGGAGGTAAAAAAAAGGAAGGTGTCCATCAAATGAAGAGGAGTGGCATTTCAATTAATATAATTTGTTGTTCTCTTTTTCACTGGAGAGTTTGCAAGTCTGTCCACACGACAGGCTCATTAACTCTGACTCAAACTGAGGAGAAGGGAGTTTGATGGACTTTCTCCAGAGGATGGTGTCGTATTGAGCACTGGTTTTGGGAGATTTAAGGCGCCTGCTCGTGTGATGTCAGGAAGATTAGACTGAACTGCTTCTAAATATGGCGATAACAGTTCTCTCACATAGATTCTCTCTCCAACACATTTTCGTGGGGCGCTGGTACATAGACAGAAACAGATCCAATTTAAAAAGCAATTAAATTGTGAGCAGAGAAGAAAGCACTTTCTATTATCTTTAGGACAAACTTGCCCAAATCAGAGGTTATTAACCCCGATTCTTTTGTCCCCATGACAGAACAGAGAAAACCGACTCATAGTGTGTTAAAACATTTATATTTCTTTTTAAGAGAGAGACCCCTGCACAGCTCAAACGCCAGTTGCAAAAGCTCTAACATTTTTAGCTCAACATGTGTCTTATATGGTGTTATTTCTGCACTTCAGACGTCACACACAGTTTCAAACATTGCTTATATGGAAAGTTCCTCTTTTCTGTGTCTTATCTATTAATATGCCTGCGGACTAAAACTTCCTGTTTTTTAGTCTGGCTGAGCACTTAGTTTGTGAGTCAA